CAGTGGCTCACGCCTGTAATCCCCACACTTTAGGAGGCCAAGGTGGGAGGACCACTTGAGCTTGGGAGTTCAAGACCAGCCTGGGCAACAGGGCACGACTCTGTCTCTACAAAAACTATTTAAAATTTGGCAGGCTAATTTTTTAGTAGTGGTCCCAGCTCCTCGGGAGGCTAAGGTGGGAGCATCGCTTGAGCCTGGAAGGTGGAGATTGCAGTGAGCCGAGATCATGCAACTGCGCTACAGCCTGGGAGACAAAGTGAGACCCTGTCTCAAAAATAATAATAATAAAATAAACTTAAAAGCATATTGAAACAGTAAAGAACTCCTACAACTCAACAACAATAAAACAAACAACTTGATTAAGAAATGGGCAATGGACTTGAATAGACATTTATTTAAGAAGATAAACAAATGGCCAACAAGTCCATGAAAAAATGCTCAACACCACTAATCGATTAATTAAGGAAATACGAATCAAAACCAAAACACAGCCACAGCAGCCTATAGTCCCAGCTACTCCAGAGGCTGAGGTGGGAGGATAACTTATGCCCAAGCACTGCAGACCACCCTAGGCAACATAGTGAGACCCCACCTCTAAAAACAAAATAAAATAAAAATAAATTTTTTAAAACATCCATTATGATGGCTACTAGTAAAAATGAAACAGGAAATAACAAATGTTATTGAGATTGTGGAGAAATTGGAACCCTTGATGGCAGGAATGTAAAATGGTGCAGCCACTATAGAAAATAGCATAGCAATTCCTCAAAAAATTAAAAATAGAATGACCACAGAATCCAGCTATTCCACTTCTAGGCATATATCTAAAAAAACTGAAAGCAGAGTCTTGAAGACGTATTTGTACACCCATATTAATAGCAGCATTATGCATAATAGCCAAACGGTGGAAGCAAGCCAAGTGTCCATCAGCAGATGACTGGATAACAGATGCAGCAAACCCACAACACACATTCCCACGTAAGGAAGGACGCTCTGCTACAACACGGACGAACGTTGGCGATACGATGCTAAGTGAATCAACCTGTCACAAAAACACCACTACTACATGATTCTACTTATATAAGGGATCTTGAATAGTCAAACTCACAAAGAGAGCAGAATGGGGGTTGCCAGGGGCTGGGGGGATGGGGAAATGGGGAGTTCTTGTTTCATGGGTACAGAGTTTCAGTTTTGCAAGATGAAAAAGCTCTGGAGGTAGGTTGTACAATCAGTATGCTTACTCCTGCTGGACTGTATACACTTAAAAATGGTTAGGATGGTAAATTCTGTCGTATACTTTACCACAATTTAAAAAAATTTTTTTTTGAGACAAGGTCTCACCCTGTCACTGAGGCTGGAGTGCAGTGGCGTGATCACAGCTCACCGCAGCCTCAACCTCCCAGGCTCAAGCAATCCTCCCGCCTCAGCCTCCCCCGTAGCTGGGATCAGAGGTGCGCGCCACCACGCCTGGCTAATTTTTTTTTGAAGAGATGGTGTTTCACCATGTTGCCTGGGCTGGTCTCAAACTCCCGGGCCCAAGCGATTTTCCCACCTCAGCCTCCCAAATTGCTGGGATTACAGGCGTGAGCCACCGCACCCAGCCACATAAAAATCCACACAATGATTCCTTCCTGTGCTGGCCTGCTCCAGATCTGGCGCAGCTTCTCAAAACTCAGAAAGTTGCCGCTCGCAAGGATTTAGAGATCTAGTTGAATTTTACAGATTAAAATACTAGAGGCCACGACAGGCAAAGTGACAGGAAAGGTCTCCCAAGTTTACTAGTAGAGACAAGATTAGTTAGTCTGGCTCCTGACTCCCAGACGGGCTCTACCCTGCACTCCCAATTCCAGTGGGGACACCCACACAGGGCGGGAAAAGGCACCCTATCCATTTGGGCTTCCTTCCCGTACACCAGGGGTTGGAGGTAGGTGAGCATGTGAGGAAATGCACCTTTGGTAAAAGCTCCTGAACAAACCTGGAGGGAGAAGAGAAGAAACAAACAGGTCAGCGCTTAAATGCTAACAGGACTACCCGGGCGCAGTGGCTCATGCCTGTGATCCCAGCACTTTAGGAGGCCAAGGTGGGCAGATCACTTGAGGTCAGGAGTTCAAGACTAGCCTGGCCAACATGACGGCCAAACCTCGTCTCTACTAAAAATACAAAAATCAGCAGGACGTGGTGGCAGATGCCTGTAATCGCAGCTACTCGGGAGGCTGAAGCAAGAGAATCACCTGAACCCAGGTGGCAGAGGCTGCAGTGAGTCGAGATTGCGCCACTGCACTCCAGCCTGGGGGATAGAATGAGATTCTGTCTCAAAAAAAAATAAAAATAAAAAAATAACAGGATAAAGCCTGAGTATTTTTTTCCCTATTGAGTTACTTTGTAGCTTTCCCCAACCTCGAGTCATAAAGGAGTTTGGAATTGTCCCTTCAAGGTGACACATTCTGCTACATTGTGAATGACGGACACCGTTTTCTGCCTCCAATAATACCACATGACGAGGCATACATAGAAATGATTTTTTATTTACTTTGATGATTAGGAAAACATACCAACATACCTTTCATCAAAGCTAACAAATTACTGGCAGTTAACTAATTTTATTAGAATAAAGACATGTCTGTTTAAACTGAAACCACCGGCCCTTTGCTTTGGCTGGGACCTTGCGAATCACGGCCAAGGTGCTGATCAGAAAACAGTCACCATCACATCAACCTCCTGCCAGCACATGGCACAGAGATGCCACGAAGGCCCCGCAGGTCCCTAGAAAAGCAGCTGCGGCTCCACCTACCGAGTCCCAGTGGCTTATTTTGAAAAGATTTGCTTTCCACCGGTAAGGCGTGGCCCAAGTACATTTCTCGGGACTGCCATTGGCTCATCGTGCATGCATATGAGGTAGTTCTCTTTGCATTTTGCAGATGCTCTCACTTGCCCAGGGGGTGGATGCCATGAATCTGAAACCTCTGGCTTCACCTTCCCGCTGGGAATGCCCCCCAGCCCCCAGTCACAAGTCAGTCTCCAATCCTGCCGCAGACTCTAGCTCTTCAAATCCAAAGGGATGTTTTCTTCATCCACAGGTTTCGGTTTTAACTGGCTGCTCAGTGTTAAAAAGGAGTATCTCAAGCCCCCTGCCATGCTGAAAGGAGAAAAAAAAAAGTGAAAATAAATGACGGGGAATTTCCCAGGGGCTCCAGCAGCAGTTGCTGGCGTTTTTATCAATACAGCCTGCTTCATGCGGAGGGAATTATTCCAATATCTGTGTTTCTCCTCAGGTTTGTGGATTGCTTGATGAGAATGTCCCCTCTTATTTACAAGCCTTTGGAGGCAGAAAAAGAGTCATCAAATCTAATGCAGAACCTCAGAGAGAAAATAAGCCCTTGGTTTTTACTGAATAAACTACATACCCTTAGCCTTAAATAGTATCCCACTGCTGAGACCCCAAATGCCTTTCAAAGCTGGGTTAGTCCACACCCCCTGCTTGCCGAGCCTAGTGGTCACAAAGGTAACACCCTCCACTTCACAGGAGGGCAGAGAACGCAGGGGCCTTCTGTGAGGAAGACAGGTGAGTTAAATTCCGATCCCAGCCCCGCAAACTGTCATCACACATGTCCCCATGGATCTGCATGAGGATGAACCCAGGGATGAAGTAAAATTATCGTAGAAATTAGAATGTCAAAACGCCTCCTGGATTAACATGAAAGACTTCTCTAGGCTCTTTTGCTTATTACATATTAATCGAACTGTTCAAGGTTCTTGTTTTCCCAAAGCGAGTCCATTAAAAATTCCCACTCACCAAATATTTAATCCTACAAAGTTTAACAAAGAGAAAATGTAGTCTCCACCGATTAACATCCCAATGTAGGCAACGGATACATTCTGCAGAAAAAGAGAGAGGATTCGTCATTTCAAAAGTAAAATGTTTAGGGGAAAATATAAATAGTAAAACCTGAAACTAGACATTTCAGTTACTTTGCAAAGAGACTTGTACATAGGGATATTCACAGGGGGCTGAAAAAAATTAAAAACCATTACAGGCCAGGAATGATGGCTCACGCCTGTAATCCCAATACTCCGGGAGGCCAAAGTCAAAGGATCACTTGAGCCCAGGAGTTTAAGACCAGTGGGGGCAACACAGTGAGATCCCATCTCTACCAAAAATTTTTTGAAAGTAGCCGGACATGGTGGCACATGCCTGTAATCCCACAGGGACTGAAGTGGGAGGACTGCTTGAGCCCAGGAGGTCAAGGCTGCACTGAGCTACATGCCACTGTACTCCAGCCTGGGCAACAGAGCAAGACCCTGCCTCGGAAAAATAAATAAGCCATTACATATGGGGCTTACTAAATGAATGCAGTAAATTATGGTCTGATAACAACAGAAAATTGCGTTATTCTCTCCCCTGTTCCAGTTGGCATGCAGGCGAAAGAGGAAGAGTGGGGCTACCATCGGCTTGCCAGATCCTAACTCTTTACTATCACTGGGTAGTGAGGTTTTCTGGGGTTTTTTTTCTTTTTTTTTTTTTTTTAGACAGTCTCGCTCTGTTGCCCAGGTTGGAGGGCAGTGGCACAATCTCGGCTCACTGCAACCTTTGCCTCCCAGGTTCAAGAGATTCTCCAGTCCAGCCTCCCAAGTAGCTGGGACTACAGGGCGCCCACCACCACACCTGGCTCATTTTTGTATTTTTAGTAGAGATGGGGTTTTGCCATATTGGCCAGGCTGGTCTTAATTCCTGACCTCAGGTGATCTGCCTGCCTCGGCCTCTTGAAGTCCTGGGATTACAGGCATGAGCCACTGTGCCTGGCCTGTTTTTCTTTTTGTCTTTTTTTTTTCAACCCTGGGCACTGCAGATTGTGCACTGGACACTACACTGCAATCTGTGGGCACACCAGGGCCAAGTAGTGAGTTAATCGTCTTGATCATATACTTGAGCAGAGTGGAGACAGTCAATAAATTCCAGGCCATGCTCTGCCCAGTGCATTCTAGGAGACCTCTGGGCAGCCAAGGGATAGGTGAATTCTTGAAGCAGGCAGTGTTTTCAAACACTCTAGGATTTCATGTGAATAGAAAAACGAAGCAATTACGGAATAGAATCCAGAACACCTCTCCCGCTATTCATTCACGTGCGTGTGTGTTTCTTCAGATGCATCCACACACACACACCCACACACCAATCCACAAGCTCACCGACCTCACCACACACCAGCCCACAAGCTCACCGACCTCACCACACAGCACGCACCTCCACAAGGGCTCCACTTCTCAGTGGGCAGGTTCTCCCAGAAAACCCAATTACGGATCACGAGGTGTCTTACTCATCATTGATACCTGGGTTTTGTTTTGTTTTGTTTTAGCTTTTTACTTCATTTTCCCAGACCCACCCCTCCAAGCCACCCCCAACTTAAAAGTTATAATTCGTCTCTCCTTTATAAATTAGCAATCTGTCCCTCTATTCTATGCAGTAGATTAGAAGAGTAAGATGGGGCTGGGCTCAGTGGCTCATGCCTGTAATCCCAGCACTTTGGGAGGCTGAGATGGGTGGATCACGAGGTCAGGAGTTCAAGACCAGCCTGGCCAACAAGGTGAAACCCAGTCTCCACCAAAAATATAAAAAATTAGCCAGCTGTGATGGCGGGGGCCTGTAATCCCAGCTACTTGGGAGGCTGAGGCAGGAGAACTGCTTGAACCCGGGAGGTGGGTGCAGTGAGCCGAGATTGCACCACTGCACTCCAGCCTGGATGACAGAACGAGACTCTGTCTCAAAAAAGAAAAAGAAGTAAGATGGGATCACACAGGCCCAGCCGAAAAGGTCACAGCCCTCATTCTTACACCACCACCACCACAACCAACAGAATCAAATCCGGCCTTCAGTGGAAAATCTGGATTCACAGTCCATTCCTTGACTCAGTTGTTCCTTCCAAGGCTCCATCCACTCACCTTGATGGCTCCAACCACTGCTGTCGTCAAGGCTGAATTGTAATAGCTGCACAGAACCGTGGAGTACATCAGCAGAAACCTGCGACAAGAAAGCAGACACAGAGTGTGCGTCTCACTACGCTGGGGAATAATAAATAGGTTAAGGCCAGCAGTGGCCCCCACACAAGCACTTTAAGGCAAAGAAAAAAGAAACACATATCACAAAGGTTTTGTAACCCACACCTTAAGATATCTTGCTATTGGTCTTATGACAGGAAAATGGTCCAGCTGTGAATTAGCTAAACCTTCTACTTAAGGTATCCTTCTCATTTTCTCTGTACATTTCCCCTGAATGTTTCCACAACCTGGGGTAAGGAGAACAAGGTTTAATGACCTGAAATCTCTCATTTATCAGCATGTTAAATGAAGTTAAGACTTTGAGTTTTGTTTTGTTTTTTTTGAGACGGAGTCTTGCTCTGTCGCTCAGGCTGGAGTGCAGTGGCACGATCTGAGCTCACTGCAAGCTCCGCCTCCTGGGTTCATGCCATTCTCCTACCTCAGCCTCCCGAGTAGCTGGGACTACAGGCACCCGCCACCGCGCCCGGCTAATTTTTTTGTATTTTTAGTAGAGACGGGGTTTCACCGGGT